TCTATGGTCCTTCTAGTTATTCTAAGAGAGCGTAATCACATCAATAATCTTTTTTGAGCAAGAACCTTGTGAGCATATAGGATCTACTATTTATCCCAGTGCCGTCATTTTTAGCACATCTTTGACCAAGTTGCGAGGCACGACTTATGCATGCGGTGCTCCAAAGTATTTGGTCAAGTGGCTTTGCTCATTTTATGGAGAAGCCAGAGTCACTGTAGCATGTAGGTTTAAAGTGATAAACGATGTTATATACTAATAACAGCAGAATAAAATGTATGGGGAAATTATATCTGCTTGTTTTTAGAAAATTCTTTAGATAATCAATTGATAACTCACTTAAAACTAGATTTGTGTGTTGAAATTCTAAGTGGGTGTGACCACTTTTCTTAAACAGAATATTTTTTACTTCAGTATGAACACTCTGCTGACAGTAGTGTAGTAATAATTTGCATTTCTGATATCGTTATCTTTTTCTTCCTACCACTAGGCCATAAAAGGTATCTAGCATTTTAGAGAAATCTGATCTCAGAAGTTGTACAACAAATAAGCTGACCTTAACATTCTAAATAGAAACTAATGACTGGAAAATACTGACAGTAAAGAAGAAGGAGAAAGAATAATAGTGGAATGAATACCACGACTAGGAGTGGATTTATGTAGCAAAAAAACCCGGCAGATACTGAGATGGCCCAAAAATTAGTTCAACCTTATCATATCAGTTCAAGTTTACAGAATCAGAAAACTAATTTGAAACCTCATGAGATAAGAACATCCCTCTTGACGATTTGAGCGGTCACTTTCTCCTAATCCCTAACGAGACATTAATTTTGGGATTAATAAGTTAATTCTCCCATAAATATGTTTCACAGAATGTTAGCAGGCACCAAGCGAGAACTACCCAGCCAGTTGGTAGCCTTGAGTCATCTTTTGTTTTGGCATCCTTTTACTAGAATTTGTCTCAGTAGTTCTGAAAGCGACAAAATTCCTGCAATAAACCCCACTGTATAGAAGGAAGTTATGCATCGCCGAATTAACCTAGACTAGTGGATTCGCCCAGATGGACACACTAAAATCACATCAACTTCATCTCAATCTCAAAAAGGTGGAGACGCAGCCTACTGAACACAAGATCAGATGAAGAAGGGGAGCACATGTAGGTTCACACCACTCACTATCTAGTGCAAGGAACCTACCTTCAGAATCAAGTTGAAAGCCTTCACAGAAGTTGCTGATAGACGGCCACAGTTCAAGTTGAACACCCAGAACAGAAACTGAACTCAACTGAAAGACAAAACTACAAAGAAAATCTTCACGTCAGTCAGTCAGTCAGTCAGTCAGTCATCAGGACAAAATGAGAGACATTGAGCAACATCCCTGAAGAGACCTGAGTGGAAGAACACTGGAACTCTGTGACAGAGATGTGGAAAGAAACCTGCATAACCGTATTAGGAAGGAAGAAGAAAGAAGACAAGACAAGACAAGGAATGGATCTCGACGGGCACATGGAAGCTGATAGAGCAGGGAGAGGAGGATGGTGAAGCAGAAGATGAACCAGTGCAGTGCACTGCAGGTATGAACAACGAGAAGAGGAACTGAGTACTATGCATAAAACACTGGACAAAGAAGTGAAGAAGAGTGCACGCAAAGACAAAAGACACTTCTACGACACATTGTCAAGTGAAGCAGAACAGGCTGCAGGTAGGAGAGACAGAGACCTAACAACATTGTATCAAGTAACCAGGTCACTTGCTGTCTGCGAAGAGATCAACACATCACAGATGGAACCAATGACAGATAGTGAAGGAAACCTAGTTATTATCACCAAAGAGGAGAAACAAAGGAAACGATGGGCTGACCACTTCGAAACGCTCTTCAATCGGCCGCCACCACCACCACCTACAACTCGTCCAGAAATACCACCAGCAGCCCACCCACAGGATTAACAGTGAACACAAGCCCTCCGACGAAAGTCGAAGTCCTCAATGCAATAAAGCTACTGAAATGCGGGAAAGCAGCAGGACCAGATGGAATCTCTCCAGGAGCACTGAAAACAGACACAGAGACAACAGTGGACATGCTGACACCACACCGCTATTGCAGAAGTTCTGGAGAGAAGGGAAGGTACCTGATTAGTGATTGGAAGAAGGGCTATCTTGTCAAAGTTTTAAAGAACGGAGACCCAAGTCTTTGCAAGAACTGGCGTGGGATCATGCTCCTGTCCCTGTCCACCCCAAGCAAAATATTAAGCCGCATCATCCTGGAGAGACTAAAGGATGCGCTGGATTCGAAACTACGACCGGAACAGGCTTGCTGGATTCAGGAAGTACAAATCATGCGCGGGCCAAATTGCAACGCCACTCTACGCATCATCATAGAACACAGCATAGAATGGCAGTCAACTCAACCTCAACTTCATCGACTTTAAGAAGGCCTTCAACAGCGTCGACCGACAAGTAATTTGGCAGGCAGCTGCTTCAACACTACGGAATACCACAAACCTTTATCAATCTCATCCAACAACTATATGAAGACGCCACATGCCAAGTAATTCACAGTGAAAAGCTCAGTGATGCCTTTGAAGTGAAGACAGGAGTGAAACAAGACAAAGCTGTCTACTACCACCCATGATATTCCTGATTGTGTTGTGGTCGACTGGATCATGAAACAAACAGTGGGGAGCTAGAAGAGGGGATACGCTGGACCGGGAAAAGATTCTAGAAATTTAGATTTCGCCGATGACTTGTGTCTAATATCACACAACTTGAACATCTACAGGCGAGAACATCTAGACAGCATTGTTTCAACTGCAGGCGGCAATGGCACAGAGGAGGACGTCAAAGCCAGCCAGGATCGGAAGAGCAAGACGCGTTCATTAACCTGAAACCAGTGCTGAGATCTTCTGCACTCAGCATGTGGAACAAGATCCGGATTTCCAACACCAATTCAGTCAATTCAGTGCTTCTGCATGGCTCAGAAACTTGGCGGGTTACCAAAGGCATTCCAACAAACTACAGACATTCATCAACAGCTGCTGCCTACGCTCACCCGATACTGAAGATCAAATGCCAGAATAATGAGAATAAGCAACAAGGAACTCTGGCCTGTCAACGAACCCATCCAAGAAGCTATCGCTCGACAAATATGCACTAAAAGGAAGTGGAGATGGATTGGGCATACACTGAGAAGGCCGACTGGGGACATCACACGTAAGGCCCTCGAGTGGAACCCAGATGGGAGGCGACAAGTTGGGCGTCCCACCTGAGGGTGACATGAAGGAGATGGTGTGAGGAGGAAATGAGAGATTCTGGGCAGCCGTGGAGCCAGGTTCAAAAGACTGAAGAGAAGAGAGTGCACTGGAGACGTGCTACTGAAGCCCTATGTTCCATTAGGAACCCAAGGGACCAATAATAATAATAATAGTGGAAAAGCGTTTCCAATGTCTCACGGTTGATATGAGTCAACGAGGAGATTTGTCTATACATTTGAGTATTTCTTTCGTGGCCCTCAATAAAGCCCCATTTATGTTTTGTGTCTACATTTAGGAAATGGATTCAGTGAAAAGCATTATCTTTAATTCAGAAGTCTGTCCACTATCAGTAATGAAATAAATTTGCAGTGTAACTCTTCGAAATGTTTTAAAAAATATACTGAACTTATTGTGTAAGGATCTACGTTACAAATTATCGAGGCCAAGGGAAGCCAGTTTCAGTTAAACCTGCGATGGCAATAGTTGGATACTTAAAATAATGAACAACTGCCAACTTATTTGTATGTGCTCTTAACGTGAAATCCCAGTTTGTACACGATTTCTAAACAAACTTTAAAATATCTTCCAATGATTTTCTGATAGAAATTTTATTACTGCTAGGCATACTCTCATTGCATAAAATGATTGTCGCTTGATGGCAATTAATCGATTGCACTGAATGGAAGTGACTTTTTGAATTGTGCTGGAACTCGTATACCAGTTGAAGATATTTTCCAAGTATCCAGATGTTTACTAGTTATAGCTCACTTGAATAATTTGTAAATGGCGGGCACCAATTACAACTCTTAACTCCATTTAAAGTTCATTTGTTAGTAACTTATTACTCTTCAGTATGCTGGTAAGCTTCTACAGGTTGCCTAAGATCTGTAGCAAGTATGTAAATGATATGTATCTTTTTGAAGTCTTCCTTTTTTACGTTTTAAGTTATTCAATTCAAAAAGTAGTAAAACGTAGTCTTGAACACACTAATAATCTCAGGTTATCAATTGTTTTCATTCATCTTATAGAATATATTCCTTTGAATTTGCTTCAAGCATATCAATGAGAACTGAACAGCATTCCTAAATCATTTATACATATTGAAGTTTCCAAATGCTAATGCATGCTTTTAGTTTTCTTAATAAACGCATGCTTCTGGAATAATTTCTTGACTCAACTTGGTTTGTTTTACGTCTAAAATGACATACGTTGTCATTTACTGTCTTCGTGTTCTCTCCGACTTATATAATTTGATGAGAATCATAATCTATGGGCAAATTTCATATTGATGCTTCATAGAGTATAACATTTTTCCCATAAAATCTACATAATTGTTTCATATCACCACTTTAAGTACGATAAATATCTTGTATACCATATAATGCCTTCACATATACAGAAAACTCGAGTAAGTGAATTATTCAAAATCCAGGTCTTTATATTTCAGTGAGACAAAAAGGAATATACTGAAGAAAATTTACTTCAAAATAAACAGTAGTTGAAATAAATTTATAGTTAAGATAGAACAACGTAAAGGATGAACAGGAGCATGTAGCTTTTTAGTCCAGTGTGTAATCATCAAGATAGATAATCTTACATTTTTTGTAGCTGTAAGTAGAACAGACTAGGGTTATATGCAGTTCATTTATGATACATAGTTTTAGGATTCGTATGATAATATAGGTTATGCACTTTTAGAGCTGAATAACACTTTTTCTGTCTTCATTTCATTTTACCAGGTATATTAATGGAATTAACTAGCCACACTACCGCTTACTTTAAATGCAGTTGGCTTTAAATTTTGATTTTGAGGCAGCGTTTGTACTCCAAAGCATTCTAAATGATAGTTTGAATTTCCTGAAACAACACGACGAGCCTCTTGACACCCTGGATCCGGTACAATCGGTCTCCCACAAGATGCACATCTTGGAGCATATCTTTTATGGAAATCTGTTAAACAGTGTAGTCGACCGTGAACATCAATAGTGAAAGGTCGAGAATCAAGCCTACCCGCACATACAACACAAACAAAGCAATTGGGATGATAAGGCATCCCAAGGGCATGGACTACTCTGTCACCTATGGGTCTGTGGCAGTTTGAGCACGTCTCAACAGCTCCATCGCGCACACAGGCTGGGCACAACAAACGTCTAAGATTATGATAGTAAGCATCTGATTTCAGTGGAGCTGCGCAACGATAACATGTGAAACAAGCTACATGAAGTCTGACACCCATGCACCGGTCAAGGTTACAACATTGTTTGTTGAAGTTAAACTACCACTAAGTGTACTACCCTCTGGAGGAACAAGTGGGCGGCGACATCGAAAGCATATATTTTGTCCTAATGGTACATTAGTTATTGTTCCAGAAGCACCAGCAGTTTCCCCAGAATTGCACATACTTGAAGATGATTCAGTTGGTGAATTTGTTGATGAGCTACCAGTAGTTGAAGCAGAAGTAACGGCAGTTGTCAGTGGACTACCTCGACCACCATTTATATTCCCTCCTGTGCTGGAGCCAATACCAGCGTGCTGCTGTAAACGTCCAAGTTGAGAATTCATACCACTACCACGTCTTAAGCTTCCAGCTATAAATAAAAGAATGAATGGAAATGTTTCCAAAATCATTAAAATTTAAGTCGCCTAAAATTCTTCATATCATTACTTCATAGACACGGTTTAATAATCAATTTCCATGAGAACTATTGAATGGACACACAATTAAGGTGTTGTTTTCATAACGCCTTAATTTTAATGGGATGAAATGTTGTATATCCGTACAACATCTGGTCATGGAGGTTCTTCATTTTAAATATTTGAAGAAAACTAACATAAAACTATATAACCCTGCCTTATCTCCTGGGCAGGAGCAGAAATTCACAGATTCCAAAACACCTTGCTTAACACTGTAGTTGCAAACATTCTTGCATGAACTAGCGATCTATCGTGCTTACTATTCAGTAATTCATTATTTTACATAATCTAGTTCTTCAGCGAGTTGTTTAAAGTCGTACTATAAAAGCACCAGTTCAAAATGAGGTATAGGTAACTTGGAATCTAGATAAGCTTTGGCAGTAATAATCGTTAAAAGTCATTCTTGATATTCCGTTGACTATTTCTATAGAAATATGAAAGACATATTTCATGAGATCAGTTAGAAGCAATAAAAATCATTTTTGCTTATTTAGCTGTTTAAAAATATCACTGAATAAGTGTATCTAATTACTTGGAAGGATTTGAACATACTGAAAGTCGTGTTGTGAAAAACAAAGTGCTGATGATTTTGTCTAAAAAGACAATGAAAGCTCCACGAGTAAACCATCCACCTCAGATAACACAACACAACCAAGACAAATGTGATGTATTTGGGATAAAGATTCCCACTTTAACACCATGGGTGATTGTTCGAATCTTGCATTATTCTAATTTATTTACCTTGTGCCACTCTATTCTCACCTTCCATATAAAACATTTTGACAAGCAAATGTCTAGTCCAATTGTTCGAAATGTATTGTGCAAATACACCACATTTCTTAGATAAACTCCGTCTTTTTATTACGCTATGTAAATTCATCAAAAGGAGTAACTGTTTCCCATACTTGTTGTAGACCTTACTAACCTGAAGAGCCATGTAGAATAAATCCAGCATCTCCGAACAATTAGAGAGCGTCAAGTCAGCAGTTCTAGGGACAAAATAAACCAGGCGTATATATCCTCACTTGTGAATTCTAGGATTGGATTGCTGAACCCAATGACTAACATGAAAATCTGTCACAATAATGAGTCAAAATGGAGATAAAATTCACCGGAATTCGATGCGAAATTTCGATCTGAACAGAGTCAAATCTAGAGTTCCAATAAATGTCGAACGGCACTTGAGAAAGGTCAAGATATTACCAACCGCTTTATAAAAAATAGATTCTAACTCAGTGATTAATAGGTATTGTATTGAGCTGAGAGTGCATACTGGTCAACAGAATGAGACTGAGAAGTAAATATGTCTAGTCCTGATTAGTTTTCAATGATTATGAATCGATATCATGTTGTTATAAAATCTGCCCTCAAGCAATTAGAATTCTTTGTCTTGTGCAGTATTTGTTTGCATCGGTGAAAAACCTTAAATATCGGTTCCGTATAATTGGATTAATTTGTGAAGAAGCACAAAATTTAACTGAGGAACACCGGTTAAGGCTAAGTGATATCAACACTATCAAACATTTTAGACGATATACCACTGGGGAAAAAATGCACTTCATTATTATGCTTCAAAACAAAAAAATTCTGATGCGGAAACCTTTTCCATTCCTTAGTTGGATGGAGGCAAAAGGCCCCAGACCTAGGTTTCTAGACTTTTAGTATTTATCAGCACGGCCTATTTTCAATCTCCATGGAACTAATGACCCACCAAGGATTCAAACCTGCGTGATCCAATGCTGCAGTTAGAGACGGTAACACCGAGCTATTTGGGTCACGAACCTCGACTGGTTAACTAGTACACTAGTTACTAGCCGGTCCTAAGCCCGGGTAAAGAGGGTAGGTTGGGCATAGAAATAGCAACCCTACCCCGTAAAACAAATCCAACCACTACATAAACTTCAAAGCACAGACAAAATATAAAACATAAAAACAAAATTATTCCTCGCTGGAATCGGAGAGGCGAAATGAAGCCAGTTGGTGAAAGCCTTCGAGAAGCCAGTCAACCGATTTGTCTTCTCTTCTCTCCATGGGGACAGGAAATATCTGCACATGTACGAACCTGTCAAGGCTGCTCATATTGCAAATGAGATAAGAAGGCATGGCGTTGAAGTGCTAGGAATCTGAGAAAGCAGATGGAATGGAAGTGGACTCTTCAAACTGTCAACTAAAGAGTCAATAATCTACTTCGATATTCCCACCCAGATGACAACCACGAGCACACTGAGCTATAGAGTGGCTATCATGATGTCCCCAAGAGCAGTGAAGGCTCTCAGGCAATAGGAACCAATCTCCTCCTGCAACATCAGGATCATGACAGCAAGATTCAACTCAGAGGGAACGAAAGTCACAATCACACAATGCTACGCTAAGCACCCACAAATAACGAAGTTCAAGAGAAGATGGAGGAATTCTACAGACAACTGCAATCAACACTGGACAAAACTCCATTCCAGTTGGCAACATCAAAATTCTTATGCGCGACATGAATGACAAACTGGGAGCTGAAAACACAGGAAGAGAACTAACCATGGGTCGAGAAGCGCTCGGTGAAATGAACCAGAATGGAGAACTGTTTGCAGACTTCTGTGCATTCAACGACTTGGTGATTGGAGACAGTGTGTTCAAGCACAAGGATATCCACAAAGCGACATGGATTTCACCAGACACCAGGACACACTAAAAATCACATCAACTTCATCTCAATCTCAAAAAGGTGGAGACGCAGCCTACTGAACACAAGATCAGATGAAGAAGGGGAGCACATGTAGGTTCACACCACTCACTATCTAGTGCAAGGAACCTACCTTCAGAATCAAGTTGAAAGCCTTCACAGAAGTTGCTGATAGACGGCCACAGTTCAAGTTGAACACCCAGAACAGAAACTGAACTCAACTGAAAGACAAAACTACAAAGAAAATCTTCACGTCAGTCAGTCATCAGGACAAAATGAGAGACATTGAGCAACATCCCTGAAGAGACCTGAGTGGAAGAACACTGGAACTCTGTGACAGAGATGTGGAAAGAAACCTGCATAACCGTATTAGGAAGGAAGAAGAAAGAAGACAAGACAAGACAAGGAATGGATCTCGACGGGCACATGGAAGCTGATAGAGCAGGGAGAGGAGGATGGTGAAGCAGAAGATGAACCAGTGCAGTGCACTGCAGGTATGAACAACGAGAAGAGGAACTGAGTACTATGCATAAAACACTGGACAAAGAAGTGAAGAAGAGTGCACGCAAAGACAAAAGACACTTCTACGACACATTGTCAAGTGAAGCAGAACAGGCTGCAGGTAGGAGAGACAGAGACCTAACAACATTGTATCAAGTAACCAGGTCACTTGCTGTCTGCGAAGAGATCAACACATCACAGATGGAACCAATGACAGATAGTGAAGGAAACCTAGTTATTATCACCAAAGAGGAGAAACAAAGGAAACGATGGGCTGACCACTTCGAAACGCTCTTCAATCGGCCGCCACCACCACCACCTACAACTCGTCCAGAAATACCACCAGCAGCCCACCCACAGGATTAACAGTGAACACAAGCCCTCCGACGAAAGTCGAAGTCCTCAATGCAATAAAGCTACTGAAATGCGGGAAAGCAGCAGGACCAGATGGAATCTCTCCAGGAGCACTGAAAACAGACACAGAGACAACAGTGGACATGCTGACACCACACCGCTATTGCAGAAGTTCTGGAGAGAAGGGAAGGTACCTGATTAGTGATTGGAAGAAGGGCTATCTTGTCAAAGTTTTAAAGAACGGAGACCCAAGTCTTTGCAAGAACTGGCGTGGGATCATGCTCCTGTCCCTGTCCACCCCAAGCAAAATATTAAGCCGCATCATCCTGGAGAGACTAAAGGATGCGCTGGATTCGAAACTACGACCGGAACAGGCTTGCTGGATTCAGGAAGTACAAATCATGCGCGGGCCAAATTGCAACGCCACTCTACGCATCATCATAGAACACAGCATAGAATGGCAGTCAACTCAACCTCAACTTCATCGACTTTAAGAAGGCCTTCAACAGCGTCGACCGACAAGTAATTTGGCTGTTGTTTTAACAATCAAGAACCTATTGCTGAAAAAAATATGCAGAAGGAGGTAGAGATGGTTTGAGCATACACTGAGAAGACCATTCGGGGACATCAGGTACCAGGCACTCGAGTGGAACCGAGATTGGAAGCGACAAGTTGGGCGTCCCACCTGAGGATGACATGAAGGAGATGATGTGAGGAGGAAATGAGAGATTCTGGGCAGCCGTGGAATCAGGTTCAGAAGATTGCAGAGAACGGATTGGAAAGGAGACTTGCTACAGAAGCCCTATGATCCATTAGAAACACAAGGGACAAATAATAATAATATATATTCGGTTCACGGCTGACCTTCAGTAGGACTGAATTAAGCACATTAATTGGTTACCCAGTGAAATTTTCATTTCACTTAACTCTTTGTGGCTAAAAATCACTGAAGAAATACTTCAAAGTGCAGTTGAAACGATCATAATAGATACAGATTACACTTACTGCAAAAGTCTAGTTTAACAACTAAAAGGCTGCTCTGCCTATGATGATTCATATTTTAAGCTTCAAAGCTATATATATACTTACAATTTTAAGTGATGACTTAATATTTTTTATCCATAATGTCTATCATACGTTAAAGTGAACAGTATACTGATGGTGCTAAATTTATGGGAGTTAATGAAATGAGAAATAGTTCTGCGTACAGTAATATGCGATGTTATAACGCTGGCTGATTAATGCATGATGTTTTACCAAAATTAACCTGAGTAAATGTCAGAGTCCACGAAATAATCATGACATTCGTGAAATATCGATTTGCGGATGTGTTCAGCAAAATTAGGTCACCTGATTTAAAAAAGATATCTAGCATTAATAAAAGATAACGGAATTTTTTTCTTTTCAACGAATCAATTCAAAAGCTATGCAATCGTAAGGGTGACTCTAAAGGCCACCTTAGCAACGACTGAAACAACCAATTAGGCTATTCTCTTTTACAAAAATCTGCCTTTCTAGACTAAATGAAGACATGTAATTGGTTATATAAGTCTTTGCTAGGGTAGCCTTTAAGGTCATTCCAATCGTATTTGCAAAAATATATATATGTCCACCAGTGGCTAGTGCGTCAATACAGGGGACCCACCAAAATTGAAATCAGCATTCTAAATGATCAGCCGCTATGGTAGAAATTTTGGATTTCAACCCTATTTTATGTTACTGTGCGAGCACGGAAAACCTTATTGGACAATTTTGTGATACAGCTGACCAATCAGAATAAGTATCTAACTTCCGACCTAGTGGCTTTATTTCCTGAGGAAAAACTGTATACAAATGATGTTCTTTGTCAAATAAAGTTGTCATCTTTTCAGTCGTAGGCCAGTGTCTTAGTCTTCTGATTTTAGCGGTCCAAAGAAGTATCAAGTCTGACGGAGAACAGTCGTTGTTCGTATCCAGTTCAAGTGTCTCATTGCGTTAGTAGCGTTCCTCGTATTGTTTGTCAGTCACTTCCACTCTACTTCTTCAAACCCAATCGGAATAATGAGTGGAAGGCATAATATCCTAGTTGACTAGAAGTTATTAATTTCCAACAAGTGTCCTACTGTCGTATGGTCATGGTTTATAAATTAGACTTTTACTTCATCGGTTGAAAGCCTGCATAATTTGTGATGTATTCCAGCGACTCACTTCAGTGATCATACACTAGGCGGATGTAACAAATTGAGAGCTCAAAAAAACACCGTCACCTTAATCTACTACACTTCTTCAACAGCACAGAAATAGAAAGTCAACAATGCTGAGGAGTGAATGTAGTCATTTTTATGGCTTCCCACATTTCATCGAGTTAATAGTATTACGGATAATCAGTCAATGAACACTCTTTATCTAAGGAGGAAGTATTAGAAATCTCCAGTTTTTTCTACATGTTTAGTTCTAACTTTAAAGTGATGACTAAGCAAGCAAGTATCTCTACTCTAAGTATAGTACATACTTCAGACGATGAGACTTTTAAATTCAAATGCTCTTGAACATCCTATAGTGAAGTAAATACCTGAAATAAGGTTCGCAAATATAAGCATAACATAAATAATGATTAAGGATTTGTCTATCTAATTTAAAATGAATTAGGAAACTAACCAGGCGATGAACTGGCTCCATCGGTGCTAGAAGGTAACGTCCCACTGGTTCCCATTGCAGATGATCGAGTCTCCATACTTTGCATCAAAAGATTTGTCAGGGCATCTACTTCAGCTTCAGGATCTGGAAGAGGTGGTACCGGTCGACTTATGGATCGATTGCCAGTAGTAAGAACGGATGAAGTTCTAAATGTTGGAGATCTAGTGCTCTCACCACTGTCAGTCTGTGGAGCATTCGAAGTGCTGTCTAAAATTTCTGAAGAATGAGTAGTCAAAGTAGATGAAACTGAAGCAGCGGAACCTCTTGAAGCTCCCAAATGGACAACTGGTATAACTATGGCTTGACCACTTGTACTTGAACTGCTTATCTGAGATGTACGACCGAGAGATCCAGGTTTATACCAATAAACGTTATCACGCTCTGAAGTACTTCTCATCGGATAAAGTTGTGATGCCTCAAAGAATATCAAACATTGTCAATTTTAGTGATCAGCTTGACAGTTTGATACTATAATGGGTAAACTTTTGCACATATCTACATTGAAAATCTTATACAACTTTAGTAATAACGATTTACTGTGAATTCAGTTCACCTGCAAATTAGTAAAACAGGAATTTTCGTGCGTAAAATATCACCTAATTGACTTCAAAATATCCCATGATCTGTGTTCTCATTATATTCAGTAATAATGGCATTTCGATGATCATAAGTTTCATCAGCATATGTAAATTAATTGGCAACTGTTACGTAATAAGACAAAGCATCTCGCTACAATAGTTTGAATTAGTTTTACGAAAACTATCAAGATGCTTTTCTCAATGACTTTTGTTTGTTGACCCTATGAGTAATAAGGCATTGTGGAATGAAGCAGAGATACGTTAAATCAAAACCTACCACTATATACTGCAACCGTCTGTTTGACCACTGGAAGCGGAAAAAAATCAGTAATTTGATAAGTTTTTACTATTTGTTAGCACTGAGGTCAGTCTTGATACTGTTTGCTACTAATTTCAGTGCATAACGGTGTTAATGACAAGAAAATGTCAATTCCTTTCTGATCATCACCGTACTCAGGGAGACAACACAGAAGTGCATCGATTCAACTTGACACACTTCACAGCATAGTGAAGGAACCAGCGGATCGATAAAGCCTGATATCGACCGAAGTCGACGAAGACGTATGGGAGGAGAAATGATTTGAAGATAGAGGTTATTGAGGGTGTCAAAGAGTGCATACATTTGTGCCATGCCAACAAAAGTCTTCAAGCACTGATTCTTATAGAATTGGGGACTGTAGTCAGGTAACTAAAATTCAGAGACTCCATGTATTGGTTCCACGCCATGGTCTGGTCAGCCTAGGCCATCTTCCAACCTAATCCAAACTTCTGTTAGCGTAGGCGTTCAGAGTAGGTAGTAGTTCGGTATGTGCAACACACGTCCAAGCCATAATAACAATGTTTCAGAGCAGTATAACAGGACAGAACAGACTGCAGAGCAGTATACTCATCCTTTGACATGAAATCGGATAGCTTAGTAGCTGGCACCAGCGACGACGCAAGTTGGCAAATGCCAAACAAGCTTTCTGTGTCCAAGCTGAGATTTTGTCAGCAACCAGACCGTTCAGGTTGAACCAACTCCCCAAGTAAGTGAAGTGGTCGACACATTTCATTACTTCACTCCCTATCACTAAACTAGGACTAGTTGCAGACCAGTTCTGAAGCATAATGTAACACTTGACAGGTGCGAAGCGCATGCCAAACATACTCAAAGTTCTGTTCAACGCATTCAGGAGACCTCGCATTTTGCCAGCATCTTTGCTTAACAGGCCCATATCGTTTGCGTACTCCAGGTCGACTATATGACATCTAAGGGTTGGGTCATCCCTGTGAAATCAGACGTAACTTGGATTATGCCCATTAATACATCTATGACGAAGTTAAACAAGAATGGTGACAGTGAGTATACCTCATGGACATCACTTGTTGTCGTCACTTCAGCTGAAAGCTTCTCATAAGACTTCACATAGCTGTGTGAGTTCGACTAGAGAGCTTTGATTAGCACTACATACTTGCTGGGTACTCCTTCTTCACAGTCAGACACTACCACAACACTTCTTGGGATGTCGCCCTCAGGTCAGGAAATATGGCGATTGTCAGCCACCAGTAAGTACGCCTGTATTCCGGAACCTATCGAAAGGTGAAGATTGATTGATTGATGTACCCACTTACAAGTCTGAAACATCCCTGGGTTTCCCGAGGTTTAGTTAAGCATTGGATAACTACGCAACCAAGGATCTTGGGAACGATGTTAGTCAAACTGATTGCGCTATGGTTATCACAAGAAGATCTCCTTTTCAAATATGATCGACAGCGTTAGATCAGCACTCAGAACCAGACAACATGAAATTGGTTGCTCGCAAGTGATCAGTCAATGTATCCAATCCAGTCCTATGAGAGGTTGATCGCGGCTCAAATATCTCATTGGTAACGTCTCTAACTGCAACAGTGAGTGACGCGGGTTCAGATTACAGAGGGACCATCAATTCCTTCGAAGTTTTAAATACACCTGACTGAAAAGTGCCAGCAAGGACGAAACCCAGGTCCAGCATCTCCTGTCGATTTCTTTCAACTCACTAACATACAAAAGGATGCTTGGAAGTAATCAATAATATTGCTACTCATTAGTGTCTTTGAACCTGCGTCTGGATCAAATCGACAAAAGACTAGCACAGTGAAGGAAAGCTAGATAAACATGTAAAACTTGAGAAGTATGGCAAGGCGTAATTCATTGCAGCCAGTAGTACTATACTACAGAGTGAGAAGACATTCGGAAAAATTTTTATTTTGAATTAAAATGATTATTCTGTCTGTGTTTCATACTCGAAGTTCAGTTGTTATCTTGTACATTCCTATTTCATCCAAGTCACATTCTGTGTACAGCTTCATGTAGTAGTCCATTATTCAGATGTTTTGCGCAGATGCCATCGATAATATTTTGTTATAAGTTCAGTAGGTAAACGCTAAATCACCAGTTAACTGAAATTTGAGGGCCTAAACTAAGTATTCAAAGCTCAGTAAACAATATGTGTCAGCCTGTGCACGCGATGAGCTTATGTTGCTATATCTACACATTTGATTATAACGAAATTTATAAGAAAAAACTAATTACTGTAAAGGGCCCCCTAACGAACCAACTACTTACCGACCTTGAAATTGATTTTCAGATCCTCTAAGCAGAACAAAGAAGTTGAGGGATTGGTTGATGACATTAGTGGATGTTCATGCGTTCTAGCCAGCTAACAAGTCAAATGTGAACCACTACATTTTAACTTGGTATCCGAACGGTAATGTACTTTTTGAGAAACCAGAACGCCTTCGACTGAATTATCTATGCAGTCTTGAATACAGTCAGCTGAGTGGTCTTAGACTAGACGAGAACGGCTTTCAGTAGTCCCGCTTTCAAATCGTGACTAAAACCACCTACACTTTGTACCCTGGTGTTACTGATGAGACCCAGTTTCATATGGTAATAATGAAACAACTTAGACTGAGTGTAAACTTGGTGAGAACGTGATAAAGAAGATTCAGAAGTTATTATCTTGACAAAGTATTTGTGCACAACTAGATGACATATGTAAATATCTTTTTGTCCTGGAACAGTGAAGCATAGAGTCTAGTTTTTAAAAGGCAACAGTTAACGTCTTATCTGAAGATATTTCGTAGTAGTTGCTATCGATTAAAGATGAATGATAATCAGCTTTTGGTAACTGACTTGTTTCAAACTTGACTCTGCGCCTCGATGAGCATTTAGATTAACTAACAGTTAGCATATTGTCCTTGAAACCACCAGAATTCATTCCAGTTGGTTATAATTTAGACATTATTTCTCTTGTATCAATAATAAAATATTTAAATTTGTAAGATGATGCCTAGTAATTTTAAGTGAACTATTTTTTTGATTATTAAACGTACAACAGGGTAGAGGGCGTTGCTGATAAGAATGGATATAAGTAGTATATGTTATAACGGTGGCAGAAATCATAGGGAATTACCAGAAATGGGTAAGAACTCCGTCAGAGAAACGCAAGAGACAAGGTATAGGCATGAAGAGCAAATCAAGAAAGAAGCAGAAGACGAAACGAAGCATATTTTGCAAATGACCATTTTGGTGCAATTCCATATTAGATTTGTTTATTTGATTTATAACACAAAGTGATCTAGTATTATTTACTTCATGACGTTTCGAACATAAATTATCATTGCTCATAATCATATCAATGTGTAAGGTGTACCATATTTAACGACTGCTGTCCAACTCGTTGACAATAAATATCCCTTCCTGGATACCTGTCTTTTGCTTCTTCAATTGGTGTCGCTGCTTCTGGACGTGATGAAGATTCCATGGCCTGCAGAGTTCGAGGATGGAGACATCAAGGTCTTTTTCAGGGACTTCTAGTCGGTCGCGTAGATGGTGGGTGTCTGGGATCCAGGAGCGAAGGTGGTGGTACTTGGCACGTTGCTGAGGGTAGGGCGAAAGCAGCTTATGACGGCGTGGAACGTGGACAGGGAAGGAGACTTGGCAGAGAATGGTTGAACGACTGGAAGTGGAGTTCGATAGAGTGGCGGACAGGGAGCTGGCGATGCAGCAGTTCCAGAGCACGGAACTTGGAATGGATGAAGATCTGCTGGTATTGGCTGTGAAGTTGACTAAACTACCTCGACGAACATATTCCACGTTGGATGAGGAGTCTCAAAAGCAGTTTCTGGCTGCACAGTTCACCGAAAGTGTCCCGAATGCCATTGCCCAGCAGCTACGACTAGTCAACACAGCACAACCCATGGATATTAGTCAGATGATCAAGGTGACCAAACAGGTGATGGGTACAGCAGTAGTTGCAGTGGAGTCACCAGAGGTAAATAACTGGAAAAAGCAAATCGACAGCCTTCAGAAAGAGGTGGCTACACTTCGAATGAACATCAACAGACAGGGTAAATGCTTTGCATGCAGAAAACCTGGACACTGGAGAAGAAACTATCCGAAGAGGCAAAAAAGAAAACGTTCTGAATGATATAATAGGAGTTCTGTTTTTCCAACTAGACTAGATATTGTAGGAGCCATAGATCTAGGTGCTGTGTGTGCTAGGATGCGAATAAATGTTCGGGAGATCATGTGCCTAATAGATAAGGGGTCGGGAGACTCGCTGATAGATAAGAGTCAGTCTCAGAACATAAGACCATGTGCGCTGACGGTTCACACGGTTGGGGGACATGCATTAGAAATTGCAGGCTTATTAGATTGCGTCATTGAGATAGGAAGCCGGAAAATTAGATCCCCATTCATTGTGACCATGGGTCTACAATGGCCAATTCTAGGTGCTGATTTTCTGAGAGAAGCAGGCGCAGTTATTAACACGAGAACAGGAATAGTGGCGACGAAATACGGGGCGTTCACCAC